CGAAAAAGTATCCCGCCGTTTTTCCAAGACGTTCGAAAATACGCCACGAAACGCGACCATTTTCCCATATCCTCCCTCGCGGCTCTTAATTATATCACCCGGTCTTGCCGCGTAACCTCGCAGACGACAATTTCTACGTTAGAGCTTTTGTTCGCAACGCTAAAATTTTAACTAGGTTCTACCAACGAATTGACAGCCGCCGAACGACGAACATACGATCTCCATCGAGGACTTGTCGTTTTGTCTCCCCATCGGGGTGACCTGAAAATTGCCGCTCACCTTGTCTTTCGATTTCCCGTTCTCTCACTCCTCCTTCGTTGAAGGCTCGATGTCGGCGTTAATTTCTACGGCGTTTTAATTGAAGTGCTTTTAACGGCAAATGTGACGAACATCGAAAACTTCATTATTCGACGTCGGTGGATAATTGAGATTTAGTTAGACATGACTTGTACAGTTACTGTCCGTTCATCCAGTCTATCTTCATTAATATGCAAAGGATGTTTTTACGTAATTAGATTTATTTTCTAAGTACACTTTAATAATTTTACTTGAACCGTCATTAACGTTTCAATTCACAACATATAATATTTCCGGTCCTTCCATTTGAAAATATAAAAATGATCGTACAACTCGTGTAAAAGTGTATATTAAGAAACCATCGGATTTCAAAGATTAGAAGATCCGTAGAAGTTTAATTTTTAAATTTAATAACGTTTTATTCAGGAGAAAACAAATCGCAAGACTTTCAACTGAACATGTTGAAGGACCAAAAGACAATCCTATAAGGAGATATGTTCGGCGCGACGGCGACTTACTGTTGAGCAACATTGAATCACTTCGGTCCGTTTCTCTACATTTGAACACTTTGTTCTTATTGTCCTACTGCGCGTTACTAATCATCTACGAAATAACTACCAGTCTTTTGCGATACGTTTGTCTCGTTGCTACGTGTCTACTTTCTTCACTACGAGAAAATGAGGCCCCATAGGTAACTACTACGTCGATTAAATCTGCCATACGCGTTCTCTTCTGCTTCTACGATCACAGTTTCACCGAACATTGTCAACCGCGAACAATTCCGCGGAAATATCGCGTTCTCGATATGTATTTCGAACCGGTAAATAAGAGACGGTCTTCCTAAACCTACGATATTGCACTTTTTCGAAATCTGACACTTATCACGCCCGGTGTATATTAATTAATACTTTCGATTTTCTTTCGTTGACTACTCACTTTAAAACGAAGGCTAGAACAGTCTCGATCGAGGAATGTGTAGAGTGCTGTTTAATCTAATACAATATTTCATTAGAAAATAACTCATCTGTTACGAGAGACTAACCGCTTTCTCAGCAAGATTCCTCCTAGAACAACCTTACAATCGACTCTAAATAAAAATCATAAAGAACACGTCGAGTTCTCTTTGGCCAATTAAATCTTAAATAGCTTCGATAAAATATGTATTTCTTTTATACGAATGGCACTCAAACTACTGAGTTTCAAACTTTAAAATTTGTCTGAAAATCGATCTATCCGAAACAACTTTGGCACGTATCAAAATGCTATCTTTGAACAAGACTGAGGAAGAGCATTGCGTTTTCGATTGAAAACCGTATTACTACGTCGTCCTTCGGTGCGCACGAATTGTAAATTGCAAATTGTAACTCACGATGGCGTACTACGAGACCCGCGAAAATGTAGCCGTCGAGATAAGCAACGTAGGAGGGAAGGACGACTTGATCGATTTAAATTGAAACGAAACAACAATCGGACGTGTAAACGCGACACCCCCCGGATGAGCCTGCAATTATTGCGGCCGCGAAAGGGGCGCGAGTATCGTTGGTCATAGGCCGATCGTGGGTATTGGATGGTAAACGGCGCCCATGTCGAGGCCCTGGACACCGAGCAGATCGCTCATGGAGTAGGTGAGAGCGGCGGCGCGGGACGCGGCCGCGACCGGATGTGGCCGATAAGATGCCGCGGCCGCGGCCGCGGCCGCCGCCGCGATCGCGCGCTTCACGTCGTAAACCGCGGCCGCGGTGGTAGCGGCCGCGGCGGCCGACGGCGCGGCTGCACCCGCGTACTGGTAGGTAGCGGCCGCACTCGGGGCGGCGGTAGCGACTATCGGAGCCAGCAAGTGATGGTGAGGAGGCCCGGCGGTGGCTGCCGCGGCTGCATGTGCAGCGGCAGCGGCCGCCGTCGGCAAGGGATACGGCGCGTAGCGATAGGTGGTGGGGGTGGGTGTCGCGACCATCACCAACTCACCGTATGCGCCTCTGCTGGCCGCCCGCGTCTTCGCCAGATTCGCTGGGAGCATCACTTCCTTTGGCTGTGCCTTCTTGCATTCGACCTTAAAATTTTAGATAGAGCAGGTAAAGAGAGGGGGACGGGTAAGAGAGGCCGATTTCAACCGGGGGTTGGGAGGAAGCTGGTGATTGGGACGGGTGTCGGACATTTCGTAACTATCTAGTCCAATTGTTCAAGCGTTGGTTGCCGTTACGGTAGATAACGCATGAATCATCCTTGACAACAAGTTAAAAGAGAGATTAGATATACTATTATTATTGTTTGTTGCTTACTCTTTCCGTCAATCATCAGGAAGCTAAAAATACTAAAATTGTTTCGTTTTGCTAAGAATTTTATTTTTTTTAAATAAACTATCTGTAAAGGGTGAGAGGGCGATATTGACTGGGTCATCGTGCGCGCGGCGAGCTTACTTTGAAATTATTGATACGAGGTGGCATCAAGAAAGCACTGTGCTAAGAGAGCATTTTTTCGCCGTTGCCGAAAGCAAATAAAGATTTCTCTTACATAAGGGAGGAACTGTGGCCAGTTCTTCCCTTCTTTTTTGTCTACGATTTCTCCTGCATGTACGTTTCGCATGCGTCGAATATAAATTTTATAATAGAGATAGACCTTCTCGATTATACGGAAAATTAATTCCGCTCGACACTGCAGGCAGGGAGCAGAAGGCAAATACCTTTTGACGCGACCTCAGAGGTTATATAAAGTAAAGGGAGAGCACCCTTTGGGGGGCAGAAGGTTCGTTCTACGAGTAGACTTTACAGGCTGGCTACTCACCATTTTGTTGTTGATTTCGTGGAAATGGATCTCGCAGACTTTGTCGACGACATCCTCGCTTTGAAACGTGACAAACCCAAAGCCTGAAAGAGAAAATAAAAAAATGTTCTTATTCAATTTTTATTACATATTTATACTTCATCCCTTTCTTAAAAAAGAGATGTTATCGGCGTGATTGTCGTTAATATCGAACAATTGACTTCTGTTTCGCGAAGCCGATTAGTTTTCTCGAAGCACGATGTGCTTCATTTCTCTTTTAAATTCATATCATGCTTCACCTCGCATGAGTGAATTTTAACAGTTTGTGAAAAAATATACTTAGAGAAAATTAGAGACTAAACACAAAGTTAAAGAAAAAGAAGTTAAAATTAAATATCTAATTAAGTGAACGAAAATGAAAGAAATTCTTAGTCTTCTAATGAGATACAACGATAACTAATTCTCTTTTTAAAAAGGTATATAAGAGATTTAATTATTGACGCTGTTCCGCGATGCTGATTTTCTCGCTTGGCTTTGTACTGCGAGTATCTGTCAGTGCGGAAATTATGTAACATGCATTTTGACAGAGTGTCAACGTCAGATTACGTTCTCTTCACATGAAAAAATCTTAATATGTGAAGATTACGAATAAATATAAATTAAAACCAAATAGCGCGCGCAATGCTATTTCCAATAAAGTATTTAATACCAATTTAAATTAATATAAAAGTATTTAACACCAATAAAGTATTTAATACCAATATATAAAAGTATTTCATACCTATAAAGTATTTAATACCAATTTAAATTAATATAAAAGTATATAATTCCATAATTTTTGCTCATGCACTGAGAAAAATGTCCGATTAAATATAATCGGATAATCCAATTACATAATAACAAACGGATATATCCGATTAAATTGTATAACCGATGAAAAATATGATCGGTTTTTCAATTAAAATTCATCGGTAACTGCATTTTATCGGATAAATTTCATCGGATGTATCCATAATTTAATCGGAAAAAGTAATCGGAAAAATTATCCATCGGAAACACTATTTAATTGGTTTATCCGATGGGAATTTTTCTCAGTGTGATAAATGAAGATTTGCAATTAGTAAAATACATTTATTTGCATCAACTATTGAAGTAAAATCTCTAATCTTAGTAATTAGAATTTACGTAACAACGATTTTTCTTTCGAAACATTCTCTCGATTGAACAGAATTAATCGTTAATTTAATCGATACACTGAGAAAAATTTTCATCGGATAAACCAATTAAATAGTCCGATGGTTAATTTTTCCGATTACGTTTTCCGATTAAATTATGGATATATCCGATGAAATTTATCCGATGAAATGCAATTACCGATGAAATTTGATTGAAAAACCGATCAAATTTTTCATCGGATATACAATTTAATCGGATATATCCGTTTGTTATCATGTAATTGGATTATCCGATTATATTTAATCGGACATTTTTCTCAGTGTACCAATAAGTCCGCAGAATGATACACAAAACGTAGTAACAGTCGCGGAATAAAGTAATGTAAAATATTATTAAGTACGGAATTTTCCATTACGTAGACGGGCCAACGAATTCTTAACGTTTTTTTGTTGTTGTTCACTCGGGGCGGTGACGTACGATGTTTTTGCGTGTCAACGCGCACCTGAAGGTTATCGCGCTCTCTCACTCGCTCGCCGAACGTAGGGCCGGCAGGCAGTGGCGTGAGTTGCTCCGCGCGTAGTATTACTTTTGCGTTATCGATTTCCAAGACGCGATCGCGGTAAATGTGGGGATAAAACGCTCTTGATTTCAACACGTCTATTATTAACAAGTAACGCTTATTGATTACATATTACAACTTGTAATGAAAAATGATTTGCACGTTCAAGGCGCGGCTTTTATCGACGTAGATTTCAACCTAACCTAACTTACCTAAAATGTGAATCCAAACCGCGGTACTTTGTCGCGAGTACATTTCATTTACGCGCCGCGCTTTGAATGATCTGTCGATTTCGCGTAATCTGTTCCACTTTCGGGAAAAGAAAGTGAAATTTGTGCGGCTTTGGCATTTGCGCTGCAATTCGCTCTGTCGTTCCTCGCGACTCGAACGGGCAGGCAGTAGAAAAAGTCGCTTACTGCTCGTTATTGCAGGTAAATGTAATCGAAAATTATCTAGATTAACTGTTGCAATTAATATCAATTATTTGTCGTTGGAGGTTTCGCTCATATCATTCATTTAGATGATTAGATTGAACGATAATAAAGATTGTAACATATCGTTTCGTTGCGGACTACAACTACTACTATTACGCGATACTTAATGATATTTCGTGCGTGTTGGCGGTATTTCACATCGCGTACGGGAGTGTCCGAAATTTCGCGCGATCGATGATTTTCGCGAGTGAATATTGTGCGAGTGCAACAAGGAGAACTGAGAGGATGAGGAGGCCACGGAGGCATCGGGCAACGGCGCAGAAATCGTAAGGTGAGTGTTTCACATTTTTATATTATTTGCTACTTGTGCAAAATAAAGCATCTGTTCTCCGTTTTTGTTTTATTTATTGAAATAATTCGAAGGAGGATTCGAATAAATGTTACAAAACAAAAGTATAAAATTTTGCGAGTCTATATTTAAAAGGAAGACTTTCGAGTATCCTATAATTATTTCAATAAATTCTGCTTTAAAAAAATATAAAATATAAAATATATTTTATAAATATTCTATACTAATCGTATACATTTTTCTATTTTTACAGTTTAACGTATACAGTTACCGATGTACAACTCTGGTATTGCGAATCGTATCAGTGAGTTATAAATTATATTTTATTTTAAATTGACGTTGCGCATACAATACCTTCTGTGAGTCTATACAAAGTTTTTAAAATTCACACACTGAGAAAAATGTCCGATTAAATATAATTGGATAATCCAATTACATGATAACAAACGGATATGTCCGATTAAATTGTATATCCGATGAAAAATTTGATCGGTTTTTCAATCAAATTTCATCGGTAATTGCATTTCATCGGATAAATTTCATCGGATATATCCATAATTTAATCGGAAAACGTAATCGGAAAAATTAACCATTGGACATACTATTTAGTTGGTTTATCCGATGAAAATTTTTCTCAGTGCAATGCGTAAGAGTAAACGGTGCGTGCGAAGCGTGCGCTTTGTGATCTCTAGTATTGAGTTGAAATAAGAAACGATTATCGTATACAGAGAGACGATATTTACGTTTCTTCCGAATTTAATTGTGCAATTTGCCATGTTTTTCAATTTTGCAATTTTAATGAAATGAATCGACAGTCGTTGACTGTGCTTGTTACTCGTGTCGTATAAGCAATATCGCGTGCACATCACGAGATGATGAAGTGACGAAATGGAAGCGTTAAGTTACTTATAAGTAAAATGATACCTAACGTTCGATCAGATTAATTCCCATTAATAAATGCGGCTACATAATTTTGAAATGGAGTAACTGGTAGTGGCAGGGACGCGAAAGCTCCCCGATTTTGCTGCATATTCGCGGGAATAAGAAACCATCCTGGATTTCCATTAATTTAGCTGACGGAGTAAACGAGTCTCGCTTCTTCCCTCGTACCGCACGAAAACGCGGTCTGTAAGCGAAATCTCCGCGAAATTTATTTCAGCTGAAGACGAACAGCGGGGAAGGAGAGACAGCGAGCCGGAGAAGAGAGCCGTAACTTAATCAAGCATCAAGGGTTATTAAAAACTTTGCATTGCTCTCCGGGCGATTTTAATCTCGCCCTTTCCACGCGCCGGCGCTTCTCTCCTAGCTAGTAATTCAGCCTCGAGATATCCGGCGAGCGCGAGTTATACGAATCCAGCGCGCGATGTTGCTTAAGATAACCAGAATTTAGTGCTTCCGTACCGAAGCAGTTGCCGAAGCTGCGTTAGGTGACCCGTAATTAAATGCATCCGGTGGTCATCCGGGAGAAATGTAAGCTAGCAATCCGCGATTCTACCCCGGTTCTGTGAGTAAGTTAGCGTAAAGTGCGGTGCGTCAAAGGCTGCCGAGATTATTAATTTCCATGTAACTTATCTCTATTAATATTGTCGAAATTGGTTTCTCGGTGAAGAAAAGATTTAAACACTTAATGAAACTTTCAGTCATTATGACTTAAATGTAATTCGAGAAATAGTGAGTCTACGAAGTAAGAAATCGTAATCTTACGGGGAAAAAGGGGGGGAAGAGAAACATTCTGTATTATTTTAATAACAAAATAATGAACATTTATCCGGAACAGCTTAGAACGTTCAAGTTCATTTCGGTATTAGGAATTAAACTACGGATGTGCGATCGATCGCGTAAAAATCCGAAGGAGTAACGTAGTTTGCGATATATATATATATACCGCTCGCTTAATTGCCAAATAAAACGACCAGGCCGGAGTCGTTACCTCGGGAAGAAAACTTGCTAACGTTGAGACAATATGTGCGTGACACATTCAATTATTCAACGCTGACACCATTAATCGTTCGGCCTGTTCTCTCGCCGGATTCTTTCTCTCCTACATCTTCCACGCTATCCGTCTACGGCACACTCGCTCTCATCTCGACCGTTTCGTTCCGTCTCGCATCCTCTCATCCACCTAAGCTCCTCCTCTTGCTACGGGTATAGCACGAGTGATTAAGTTATAAACTTGGCAAGACGTCCGTTTGAGCGCGGAAGGGGCTTACTTCATTTATGTAATTTATAGTACTCTGCCAGTCTAGCTAACTCCACGAAGCCCAAGCACTCCCCTAACACAAAGGCCATGTCCTGACACCGGTAACATTTAACTACCCTACCTCGCCCCCCCCCCTCCTCCTTCCATTACTTTGACGATTCTCTCCCCGCGAGCGTAATGCGGCGCCGCGGACTACCGTTGACATTCCTCGATAGGGCTCGTCTTTTCAAGTGTGCCGCGCAGAGCATTAAATAATCTCCCTCGCGGAGAAAGTAAAGGATTCTAATTTACCGTGCAGAAAATGATATTGTTTTCGATATTATATTCCGGTGAACGAGCTCTCAAAATGTCTCCGATGAGATAAAGTATCGTAATTGTTAATCGTT